GTATGTGCACTAATTATGTTTTAACCGTTCTTCTTATGACTTGGATTCATAAGGTCAAGTGGGTCCACAGCCTGTGAAGAAGGTGGCTAAATTATGTGCAGTCCTCTGAACAACATATTGAAATCTTACTTTCGTCTTGTTTAAAGGGATTCACCTGACCTATTTAAACAAGTGACTCCACAGGAACTCCCATGTATTCAGTAGATTTTAATAGGTATGAGTTTGGCTCCTTGAGTGCATTCTGAATGTTGAGACTGAAAGCTGAGTGCTTTTGATACAGAGCAGTGTGAAAGCATAGAAATCCAAATTCTCCAAATTTTGTGAAGTATATTATCATGTTTAATAAACTTTGTTCTTAATGCTCTCCAAATTCTAATGAATGAGAATCAAGTGTTCAGGGCATCAAAGATTTTAAATTTCAGTGCTTCCAAGTGCCTTGTCTTTTGAGAAGTTAACAATAACTTTTAAGGAGAAATATCTCCAGATTAATACACAAGAATATGTAAAACAGACCCAATTTAAAGCTCATTGCACAAGCATACTAGTCTTATTATAAGCATGGAATGCACATAAACTGTCTGAAAAGGGATTTCTTGCATATGTTTTAATATTTTCACACAGGTATGATCATGACAAATACGACCTTTTATGTTGACATGTTTTTCTAACTTAAGTTTTTTTCAATTAAACATTTACCAACCTACAGAGTAGATTATATGTTTCATCTTCTTCAAGTCATTGTTATTTCTCTTGCTCCATCTTTGTCCCCCAAGAAAACTAAAACAAGAACTGAAAGTTACTATTGCTTACCAACACCCACCCTCCTGCGTAAGTACACATTGTGTGCCTTGGGAAAATATCAGTTTGCAATTATATGAATAATCCTACTTGTAGACCTGTATCACATTTTCTTATGATATCATAGCGTAGGAGTGCAGGTGTTTTAGTATGTACATTGAATTTAGGTACTTGGATTATGGTCCAACAAAACTACCAGCAACCTTCAAGAAATTTTTTTTATCAGAACCAACTAATGTTCAGAATCCCAATTTTAGTTAGAAACAGCACCCTGGTAATCAGTCTACTGTCTTTTCAAAAGCACCACAAGGTTGATTAAATGAATCCATCACAACTTAGAAACAAGTGTTTTTTCTACTCCTGAGAGGTCACTCCTGATATTAAATTTTCCCAGTGGTCTAGATGTACCTCTATGCATACCTTGCAATTGTATGCCTAAATTGGCACCTTTACTCCCAGGACATCCTTTCAAGTTTGAATGGAAATATAAGGAGTAAGGTACTAATCTTTTTTGCAACTATAGCACACAACATCTTCCAAAGAAAAAAAAAACAAACAGCATTTTCAGAGACATGAAACAATCTTCAACTCTTTAGGGTCTAGAAGAATATCTAGATTCACAATACTTTACTAATTATTTCTAGAATACAGGATAAGTTGACTCTACCTCATCATATTCTAATGTATTTAACTGGAAAAATGAGCTGTGTGGGCCTACTGTTGGCAAGGAATTGCTATAAAAACTTCACTAGAACTCATGAAACTATAACATTTAGTAGCAATGTAATAATCTGACATTTTACACTCCTATAAAATATATATGTGTAAAAACTTTGGGGTTTATTTTTTTTTATTTTGGCTTGGATTTGATAGGAAGAATGGTTTCAGGATATCTTGGAGGAGAAAATTTGGACGGAGTGTGCATAGGTGGGAAAATACCTGTAGAAAGATATTTTTGTTTATATTGAAATGGTTAATAAAAGAAAGAACTCTGTAGAGTTTTCATGACTGCATTGAGCAGAAGTTACTCTGCAGCTTTTACCTTTATCTGCCTTAATGCAAAACATACAAGTGGGGGAGGAGAAAAAAAGAAAGAAGAAATAGAACAGCCCATGATGCATAAGGATGATGTTTTAAGTTCTGTAAATTTTGAAGCCAATGGGTCTAGGTTGCAAAAGACTATAAAGATTAAATTCCATTTTTCCTATAAGGAAATCCCTATAAAAGCATGTTATGTATCACTAGTACGTGTATATACACAAATATTAATGTTGTAAATTTTAATATTGAATATTAATGCCTGAAAATACCATGTTGTAATTTATATGTTAAATTAGTTTAAATGGTATATGGTTTTTTCCCAGTAATACAGCAAAGAATAAATTTAAGGAATAATAATGTTTCTTATTATGTAGGTATTATATACCCTAGTATATAATACTGCAAGTATTTTATACAGACTTTATATATGTTGAATTTTTTACTCTAAAATTCATTCAAGCAAGCAATTTTATAGACTCTAAAATGTTTCTGTTTCAGAAAACTCCTGAAATCCATAATAAATTACAAGTTAGAAATGAACAGATGGGAGAATAGAAAGTATTGAACATCTCTGCTCACCCTCTTTGGCTTTTATTTATTTGGTTTCATAGGCAGAGTATTGTTAATCAGAAATAAGACCATGTTTTAATTTAAAAAATGTCATAAGTAAGATATTTGTCCTAAATACATAATCTTATACAGTTATTAGTCTTTAACGTAGCCAATATGTTCATACTTCTACAATCCATCTGTTAGTAAAACCTTCACTTTGACTAGAACTGCACACATTTTATCACAGGTTAAGACACCAGATGGCTCTCTTGAGTTTTCTTTGCAAAACCTCAAGCTGTAAACAACTGCTCTGCATTTCTGAGATGTGAGCACGAAGCTATTGTTTTTGATCTCTGGAGTAAGAAACACGTTTTCTCTTTGCCATAGGCATACCACCCGTTTTCACCTTCTTTGTTTCTTTTCTTTGCCGTCACCTCAAGCATCATGTCGTTGAGAAATGGCAATGTGTTTTGGCAAAGGCCCAATATTTGAAGGAAACTACGGAAAAGGAACAATAGTAGTAGACAGTATATAGCATAACATCGTTGGACAATATAAAGAGGTCTCTCCAGCAAAAGGGAACGTGGAACCTACATCTTTTTGGAGAGAGATTCTCATGCTAATGTTAGTTCTGCATGTACATATTCTACTCCTAAATTCCTGTGAAAATGAAAGGTAGTGGGTGATTGGCCTTTATTTCACTCTACTCCCTCTCATTCATTCTTTTGTTTGGAGCCAGCAGCCAAGTCGAGCTGACTTAGGCTGTGTCTTGTCAGCCCCGCGGCGGTGGCACGGGATGTTCTATGCCACTCGCTGCATCTCTCTGCTACGCTGTCCGTGGTGCTGAAGGCAGAAACAGACCGGGGAGGGAATCGGGCCGGGGATGGGACCAGGGCCGGGGCTGGGGGAGGCCCACTGGGGCGGCACTTGGAGGACCGCTTCCCTCTTGAGAGTTCTTAAGTAAGGCAGCACCGTGTCTTGTCCACTTCTGAGAAGGAAGGAAAAGGAAAGCAGCATACAAAAATACTACAGTGAATTTTATATTTAAAAATATAACCACCTCTCTGTCTAATTGCATTAGTTAAGGCAATTGTAACCGTTGTAAGGAAATTGCTGCTCTGTAAAAATTGCCAGATAGAAAATCCAATGAGACTTAGCTGAATCTCTTTAGAGACACTTTTAAATAGAATTAAAATGTATTATCGTGATCCGATTGTGCATGTTCTGTTCCTAGCTGGTCTAGTATTAATACAAAATCCCTGTATACTGGAGTTCCCACCATACACTTTTGCCCTCTGTATAAAAATAGCACTTTGTAGATTAAAGGATTTAGGGAAAAAATGGTCAATATCAGAGATGCTGAAGCCTTTGCTGAAACAAGAACATACTCTTATATACTAGGCACTGTATTGCAAATAAATTAATTATTCTGGATTGATATTTATACCTCCAAGCCTGTTAAACAAAACAAACCAACAACAAAACCCCCACCACAAACCTCTCTAATAAGAAATTAGAATGTTCTGTAAACAGTATAAAAATAGATATTTATTACACAATAATTCCCTGTGCAAGCATCTGTCCTTCTTTATAGGATAACTGCATTTTTTTTTTGCTGTGTAGCTGCTTACTTCCTTTTTCTACTTTCTTCTGGCTAGTTACAACTTCAGGAAGTTTAACAATTAGGCTTGCAGAAAGTAAATCCGAAAAACTTTAAGCCCTTATTTGAAAAGGGAGAAGAGCAAAGTGAAAAATATGAAAGGAAACAAGTGACATGTCATATTTTACATGGTAGTTACTATTTGCAGTGTCTTGTAATCTCCTCGGGGCAGATACTCCTTAGGCTTCTGTGTCTAGTGAACTTGGTTGGTGCTTCCTCAAGTGCTCCAAACCAGCCTATAATTTTACACGGTGCTGGTCATCAGCACGTGCCGCGGCTGTTTGTGGGTGCCCTATGTTATTCCTTCGGTATTCGGGCTGACGGTGCCCTCCAGCTCGAGGATGTGCTTCTTCCTTATGGCTCTAAAACCTTCCCTTGCGGCAGAAACTCCTCTCGTGCCAGACTACACCCCCAGCCCCGTCCGTTCCCGGATTGTGGGGCGCTCCTGCCCCGCTGCGGGCGGGCTGTCCGGCAGAGGGGCTGTCGCGGGGCGGGGTGCCTGCCCTTGGCGGAACGTGGTGCCAACTCACCCGCCGGCCCTGCCCCCATGGCTTTCCCGGCCTGGGGACGGTGACAGGTGCCGGTGTCACCGCTGGGGGCGGCAGGGGCGGCCGGCAGGGAGCCGGTGCCGGGGAGCTGGCGAGAGGGTGCGTGCGAGGGTGCCTCGGGCGGGCGGAGGAGAACGCGGAGGGCCATCCGCCACTCCGGCAGCACCCAGCGCCCTCCGCCCCCCCGGGGAGGGAGCCCCTTACGAAGGCATCCGGACGGGGGGCAGAGGCAGCTGGAGGTGGATGTACCGGGAACCGCCCCCCCGGTTCCCACCTGAAAACCGCATCAGCAACACCCCGTCCGTCCGACTCTCTTTCCCTTCTTCTGTCTTTCCCTCATTCCTTCTCCACCCCCCGCACCTTCACCGCCCCTCGCCTTGGGGAGGACAAAAAAAGCTCCAGCGGTGCGTGCCTGTGTGTGTGTGTGTGTGTGTGTGTGTGTGTGTGTGTGTGCGTGTATGTGCGTGTGCGTGTGTAGGGGAGGCTGGAGCGGGGTGGGACCGAGGAGCCGTGATTACAGCTCTCCCCGGAGAAGAAGATTGCTCTCTCCAGATGCTGATTTCTGAAGCACTTGGCAATCATCAGGCGGGAGCCGGGAAGAAGCGGCGGTAGCCGCCCCGGCCGCGGCGATGGCAGCGGCGGCCGAGAGGGAGGCGGCGGCGCGGGACTGAGGGGCAGCGCTGCCGGTCGGACACGATCCGACCCGACCCGATCCGACCCGACCGGGCGCGGCTCTGCCCCGAGTCCCGCTCGCTCCTCTCTGCGCCTCCAGCCCGCCCACCCGCAGACACCCTCCCTAGCAGGTAGTAGGTGCCCCTGTGCCGGGACACGGCGGGGGTGACGGCGGGGCACCCATGCGGTGACCCTCGGCGGCAGCAGCTCCCGCCGGCCGCAGGGTGGAGGTGCCCCTCCGCAGCCGCGCCTCGGGCCGGAGGAGGCTGCCGCTCGCCCGCGTCCCCCGGGGATGGGTCCCCGCCGGGGCTGAGAGCCCCGCCGCCTCCCGCCTCTCTGCCCGGCGTGGGCGATCCGGCTAGCAGCCATGGCAGCGGCCATCGCCAGCGGCTTGATCCGCCAGAAGCGGCAGGCGAGGGAGCAGCACTGGGACCGGCCCTCGGCCAGCAGGAGGCGGAACAGCCCCAGCAAGAACCGCGGGCTCTGCAACGGCAACCTGGTGGACATCTTCTCCAAGGTCCGCATCTTCGGGCTCAAGAAGCGGCGGTTGCGGCGCCAAGGTGCGTCCTCGTGGCCGGGCCCGCCCGCGGGCTCCCGGGGTGGGGGGACGGGAGGGGGCAACCTGTGGCGAGAAACTTCCCGGGTCGGGCGCCGCCCCCGGTCCCGCCAGCCGGCGGCTCCGGGCTCCCCGAGGAGCCGCGGCTGGCGAGCCCAGCCGGCCCTGGAGCGCCGGTGTTGGTCACGACAGGTGTGCTAAGGGCAGGAATCCCCTCGGGGGAGGCGGCCGGCGCGGCGAGAGCCCTGCCCGCCCCTCCGCGTGTCCTCGTCTCTCCCGTGTTTCTCTTTGAAGGACAAAGAGCGCACAGCGTGGAAAGCTCTTTGGGTCTCCGGTGTCTGAGGGCCGTCGTTCACCAGCCCTTCCTTGAGCCACCCGCTTGGCTTTGGTGGGTGCAGCCTGGCCGTAGTACAGGGGTCTCGCTCCGCGCTGTCCGGTAACTTCCCAGTCAGCACACTGAGAGGTGTGGGAGAACTTCTCAGCACCACAATGGGTGCCCAGGTAACAGGTCCACCTGCCTGTTGCCCGTCCCCAACCAGGGCCTCACCATGCAGACCAACAGGTTCTGCAGGCAGTTCTTCAGGGTAGATGATCAGTAGTCAACAGAGAAAACTGAAACTGGTTCCATGATGATTGCATTCTATCCAGTATGTTGTGTTAGAACACCAGAAATAAAAAGAGTCAAATGATATTGCAATGACTTATTTGTTTTTTACAGTTCTGTGGTATTCAACAGCATTCAGAAATGATGATGACTTACTTTGTACTTGTCCTCAGGAAACAAGTAGTTTTAGAACAAAAGGATTATATTGTAAAGAGTGAAAATGTTAAGTATTACCTGAAATGTGGCTAATACTGTCTATCCATGATAAAGTACAAACCACCCTCTGTTACATTAGAGAATGCCACCATGTGTTGTGGTTCAGTATGTATGCTACAGCTCCTCTTTAGGTTGGGTCAGAAGATAATTTTAAGCATAATCAGGGAACTGTCCTGATTGATGCTTCCTACCTCTTTTCCATGCCTCATACATGAAAAAGCATAAATCAACAAAATCCATGCAATTTTATTTTTATGTGGCTTTGTTACAGTGAAATTATTTATTGTAACTTGCATTAAATGCAAGTTAAGTCTTGCCATTTTAAGGTAGTACAATGATATAGGAAAGATGAGGAGGAACATGTCAGTGGCAAAATCTATAGTGGCTTTTTTTAAGCAGTATGTGTGTGTACTTAAGCAGACTAGAGTATTTTCTTTATGATGGTGGATTTTATAAGTGATACTTATTCATGAAAATGAATTTATGAGGATTTGCTAATTGAACAATTGTGCTTGATTACCTGTGTAGTCTTATTTGGGGGAAAACTCTGTATTTGACTGTATTACCATTTGAGGAGATGACTGTCTCACAGCACCAAGATTCCAAACATTTTCCTAGGTAAGAAGGGACTTTATAGAGACTTTTGAATTCATTCTTTTTCATTTAGTCACTTTTCATAAGGTACATTGTGACATTCTTGAACAAGAGAACTGGATTAGAATATAACTCTGCTGTTAACCTACACCACGGATACAGAAGATTTCAGTAAGAATAATCAGAACAAGGGCTACTCACCAGTAAAGTCTGCAGTATCAGACCCCCGAGTTTATTTTCTCTAAGAACTCTTCATTTTGAGACATGACGATATTTATCCATTGATTTAAGTTAAGGTCTCAATTACTGCTCATCCATAGGAATTCCTGATGAAAAAATACTACCATACTTTTTACTGTGTATGTTCTTGATGCACAAAGTGATACATGGAGTACCTGTGGATTCAAAGTTGCATGCTGTTTAAGAAGGAAAATGAAGAAATAATCAAACTGAAGTCATTACTTAAACATTTTTTGCATAATAACTTACAATGAAAAATCATTTGGGAAAAAAAACCAAATATGCCACATTTTATAGGGCTGATTGCTTTAAAATACATTATAAGAGTTACAAAATTACTGTTTATCAGTGTCTTTTTTATAAACATTTAGCAGAGCATCTTTTAGATAACATTTAATAACATTCATCTGATAAATGAACATTTATCAGAGTGTCTTTTCAGTTTTCCTAAACTGAGCTAAATGGCATGTGAAGTCTTCACTGAAATCATACTGTCAAACCCATTAAAATAAATCTTTGCCAAGCAAAATAGGATGAATTTCAAAACATCTGTTGTCAGAAAGGTGCTATGGGATCTTGACGAATAAACCTTCTGTAAATGATATAGAGTGTCACAAGAGCATTGTGAAAAATGAGTTAATCGAGATGTTACAAACCATCTGTAGCATTCTCATACAATTCAATGGAAGTGTAGAAGTATATGTAAAATGTTCGTTATGTATAGCAGTAAAAGCTAGACTCTGTTTTTCATGAAATAAAGAAGTGTTTTGCTTTGTGCTTACGTATGAAAAGTAACTGTTTCCCCATCTTTGAAACAGACAGTGAAAACCAGTGATGCTGCTTTTTCAATCAAAAATACACATTTACTCTTGTACACATATATGTATGTGAATCATGTAAATAGATATGCACAATATATGCACACATACCAACATGTTAGCACACTTTAAAAAGCATTCTTTATTTTTAAACTCTTCTTTAAAAATACCTGTTAGTACTGTTCTGGTTCAGTGGGATTTATCTGAGAACAAATGAAGTTATTATGAATACATAAAATGCTACAATCATGTGTCTGCCCTGTAGAAATTTATTTCTGTCATTGTGACAAATTTTCTGTTCACGGTCCTTTGTTTAGGGGCATACTAAAATATCAACAGAAGTGTGCTTTGAGAGACTAACATTTTGGAAGAGTATCATTAAAGATACATCCAGGAACTCACTAAGGGGAAAGAGTAATATTTGTATTTACTTATATATTTTCTCTAATGACAGATGCCATGGTAGTTTTAAACAGCATCCATAAAATGTTGATTAATGAATTAAACTAGCAAAGTGCTTTCTGTGAGAGACTTGCCTGATAATCTACTGAGTGGAAGAAACCATTTTCATTTACTGGATAGCTTTGATTCATATCGTTTAGTGTTATGATGTTTTAAATTTATCTCATTTTTATTTTATTCTACCTTCATCTGATGAAGAAATCACTGTCATTAATTTCTGGATAGCCATGAAGCCAAGATCTTGCCTGACCTGATGCCAGACATCAATCAACTATGAATCATCCTCCCCTGGATTAGAGGTTGTTTAGTTATAACGGTTTAATTTACATTAATATAATCACAAATAGAAGAATTGACAGTCAAGATTTTGTCTTCATGTGAAATAACCTTACCTAACCTGGGGAAATGCCACTTCTTCACCTCAGACACCTATAGAGAGAAGAGATTAAAATGTATTCTTGCCTCTAGAGCAAATTCAAACTTCTTAGCCTGTATTTTCTTCTACATATCTAGCTGCTTTCCTAATCTGAAAAAATCTTCATTTGCTTAATTAGGTCCCTTGAGAATATTCTGCTGGAAAATACTCAACATTTAAATGTATTAATGTCTGATATTTACTGCTTCTGTGTGCTAATACCACATTAAGCCTTCTAAATTTATATATGGAGTGTCTCAATTCTGGAATGACTTGGTCTCTGATTTTGTACATTAATATTTATGAGAAAGAGAGATCTAGGGAACATGTTCAGAAAATGCATTGGTTAGATCTTACTGCATCTACAAAAGTAATTCAATTCTCCAAAGAAAGCATTTTTGGAAAATTCCTCAGTAGATCAGCTAATGTTTTTCAGCAGATGTGGGAGTGGCCCATAATCTCAGATATAAGATAATTCCCAATATACATAGTGCCCTAAGTAGTTTCTAGTTTTCCTACTTATGGAATGAAGTGTAACTGAAATGGAGATCTGTGCACATGAGTGAACATGACTTATTTCCCAAAGCTTAAGAAACCACATCAAATTCCCACTAGTTAGCTCCCGTGTTGGATGATTTGGCTTGCTCAAAGTTTTAGCAGACCAAAACCTGTAGCTGTGCTTTCCTATGTGACTGTCCTCAGAATTAATCCTTTTTGACTGTTCTCTAAAACCCACTGCTCTTGTTTTGTCTAGGTGCAAGACTGTCTGTTTCTCAGGGTGTTGAACTGATATTGCTTGTTTTTTGCTTCTTTTCTGCAAATGAAGTTGATTAACCCAGAATCCTTTTGGAACTATAAACACACTCTTAACAGCCTATATAAGAAATTATTAATTTTTTCCCTCACTGCTGTTAACCTATTCAAAGGATGTCATGATCATCACAAACTGGAACCGTGAATGTAAAATATTCTAAGCATATTTAAAAAATATCTTTGAAAACATGATTTGCTAGACTCAGTGTCAAGCTTTGTTTCCCATACATTCAGTATTTCACACAAATCTTGTGCTTTCTAAGGGAAGCTTTTAAAAGAAATGTAGTAATAACTGGAATGTAATTCTTATTCTAAACTGGTCTTGGTAGCTCTAAAAGTGACGAGTGAGTTGGTTTTGAGAGCAAATGGGGAAAAATAGTAACGTAATTTTAGGTACTATTTATATTTAAAAATATCCTAAATAGGGGTGATAGAATAGTTGACATTTAATAAACAGATAGTTCTGTACCAGTGTTATTTCAGAATATGTCCTGTTTTAATGTAAAGTGAGTAGAAATACTTAACTATTGTGTATTTTAAAATATTCTGTTAAAAGTAGAAATCAGATAACATCTGAGAGCAGTAAATATTTCAACTTATGTTTTCTAAATATTCTAAGTTTGATGTTAGTTACAAGCTAAGATTTGTTTTAAATTTCTCAAAGACTTCACAGCTATTTTCGTGAATTTCTTACTTGTTTTGACTAAAGTGCTGTGTTGTTTGTTTGGTTTTTTTTTTGTCAATACTTTCTTCCTGATAAGCATTGTTTTACATTTATTTACCTCAGGTAGTTTGTATATCTGAAGGATATGTGAAATTGGAAGAACCCAAATTTCACTTTT